CGCCCCGCCTCGCCCCGCCTCGTCCGCTAATTTGCCCCACCCCTGAATGGCTCTTCTTTGCTTTTCTCATTAGAACGGGGGGTCTTTTAAACGGCAATCGAGCCTTTCAAGCCTTTGTCTTCGCCAAACAAACAAACAGCAAAAAACAAAACACACGGCAAGGCCGAGCGAGATACCACATAGAGCCTTGTTGCAGGAGGAGCGGGAGGAACGCCGCTCGTAGTGGATGGAGCTCGGCACACGACGCCATCATGACCGGGGACTTACCTGCAACAAAAGGCATAAAAGCATGCATGAGAACAGGAACAGGATAGCGCCAGTGAATCAGTGTGAAGCCTGTGCAAGCTCTCTCAGCGCCTGTAGGATAGGCAATATCTTGCATTGACTGCATGCGTGCGCTGCAGTGTGGCCTACCCCGAGCCTCGCAGGCGCCAGGCTCCCGCAATGTGTCGAATAATGAATCTGAGTGAAACGGACGTACATTCTGGCAGATCCCCTGCCTCACCAACTTAAATCTGGCACTTTTAGACTACCGCTATTTTGACGCCGCAGGACTCGGAGACTGCGACGCACGAGTGCACCGAAGTGATCGTGCAGACCGCGGGGCCACAGCCGGCCACAGCGGGGGGGCGACCGAGCTTCGCGCCTCCGCATCTACTCCATTCGTTCCAGCCGCAAGCCCGTCTTTTCCAGACTATGAGAGAGGGGCGGGGGGAAGGGGAAGGCTGGAAGGCTTCCCTGCTCTCTTATCAGACGAAGCGATGCCTCAAAGCCCTTCCAGAACAGCGCGCTGCGGCAGCGTCGGCGTGACGACAGTAATGGAACAGAAAAGAAGAAGAGGGAGGAGGAGGAGAGGAGGCTATAACGGCAACGGTGGGGCGACAACAACAGTGCTCGCCCGCGGCCCGCTGGACCGCAGAGCGCCGCAGAGCCAGCGGCAGAGGCCCTCACTGCGCTGCAGCGGCTCCACGGCGGCGCCAACGCAGCCGGTGACAAGCCCATGTTTGGACAGCCAGGCCTAGGCCTGTCAATTTGCCTGGCTGCTGCGCTGCGCTTGCCCCGCCCTGCGCACCGGCCCCGCCCGTCCCAGCCCTAGCCGGGCTGTGTATACTCGCTCCAGCCCGGGCTTTCTCCCCAGCGGCCAGCTCACTCCACGCCGCCGTCGGCAGCTGGGCCGGCTGACTCTGGCCTGGCAGCAGCAGCAGCAGCGGACATTTGGCCCGAGCCCCGCCATAGTCCATAAAGTAGAGAGCCACGCGGGTAGACAGCCGGTCAGCGGCCAGCCTCCCCCCCCCCCCGCTTTTCTCAATCGCGACACTTTCTTCCGGCCGTCCTCCCAAGCGTCGCGCTGCTGCTGCTCGACCCGCAGCCCGCGGCACGTTTTGCCGCCAGCTTCCGTGATTAGCACGTCCAGCCGCTATCTGTTGTTCAACAACCGCCGCGTAAGTTGTATACACGGTCTGATTAGTGTCCACCCCGAGGTGTACTACGTACACGTCCGCCGAACCGAATTGGGAGTGCAGCAGCAGCTTTTCCCGGACGTCGTCCTCGGCATCCGGTACGGGAGGAGGACGTCCACGCACCAACCGGCACCAACGCCAAGCACACACGCACAGTCACAAACCCGTCCGTCCATCACTAGACCTCCTCTATACAGGTTAACCTTTTCATGCGGCCTCACCGAGCCACCGAGCGAGCCTCGCCAACCAATTAGAGCGGGGCGTTGTGACGTTGGCCTGCACTTCCGGCGCATCCGCGTCCCGGACCTAGGATGCATTGAACCGCTGTTCGACCGGAACGGAGTGACTTCCGCTCCGCGCCGGCACGGTTGAGTCGTGTAGAACACTCGCCATAGATATTTCTGCATATTTGGGGGGGGGG